CAGGCTTTCTCCACTGCCCTCACCGTCCACAAAACGACGTCATCTTCCATCACAGTGGAGCAGAAGATCTACCATTATCATCCCAGTCCGGAGCTGCTACAAAACATTTTGACCACTGACAGATTGCGTCCTAGGAACAGTATCTCTGAATACTTCGCATAATCCTAATGGTCCATGATCCGTCAAGGACTAGTTAAGTTCGAATCGTTGACAAGGTTCTCATGGAAAATTCTTGTGATGTACTTAGTCCAGAAAGCTTCTCATAGATTTTGATAGTCCAGAATGTTTTTGATAGGTTGGGATGCGTTTTTTAATAATAAGTTGAGAGCACTCGGCTTGAGTTTAACAAAGTGTGATTAATGCTGTCTACTTGCAGGCGACGGAAGCCACTAAACACTGAGAAGCCGTGAAAACCGCGCGGCCAGGGTCAACCGTGCGTTGGACAAAGTCCAACGAGGGAGTGGGGGGGGGTCGTATTTCGCGAGGTAGCGTTAATGTTACAGTAAGGGAAGTGATGATGCAGTTGGTTGGCGCGCTAAAATTTTGCCGTTTCACGGTGTGTATACCCCCTCGACGGTAATTTTGGAGGAAAAAAAGTGGGCGGAGTTTGGGCTGTGTCGACTGGTCTCAGAATCGAATACTATAGAATGAGCCCATGATGGCGATGGCAGGCGAGGGTGGTGAAGGGTTGACCCTGAGGGGGGGGTCGTATCGAGGCCCTCTAGAAGGGGGAGGGGGTCGTAAAATTTTCGAAATCGGTCCAACGTGACGGTTGACCCTGCGCGCGGCTTTTGCCTCGAGAGGCAGTCTTCCACACAAGTTTACTGGAATTCACCACTCAGGTAATCGCGAATATGTCTATGAACAAAACTGTTATGCTCTTCTCGAAAACGGCATGTTTGGGATTGTTACCACCGTGTTCAAGAGCTTCAGTATGACCAAAAAATAGCTCGTCCTACATATTAGCCCTGCCTTCAAATGAGGTTGTTAACATTGCCATTATCATTGTCATTATTATCATTCACTTTTCATTTCGAGAGCGCTTTTCAATCCGAACGGCCTTATTTTTCGGTCTTGTCGTGTAGAGTTTTCGACCGGGATGCTCCTGTCTAAACGATAAAACTGCAGCCGTGGGTTTCTCTCTTGCTCAGAGTGGCAGAATGAAGGTTCTACGTCTTGAGCTTTTGGTGATCCCTTCTGGTGTCTTCTTCACTGTCCAACATCACTATCCCTGATTTATCAAGTAATCAGCATCAAAATATTCTGACTGCCGCCTTCAGTTTGCCCGATGAAAATGCTATGTTTGATCGCTTCGAATTCAATCTGTCATTTCATGCCATCCGTTGAATGCACAAATGATGACCCAGATGCGTCTCTGCGTAATTACAATGTGAAACTTACTTGTATTTTTGCCGTTTACCCGAGTCATACAACTTGACGGTGTCCTTCATTTTTTGTAGTTGCTGAAGCACATACACTTCTAATTTCAAAACACCGCCTTCATAGAGGTCATCTTCTACCTGAACGAAGTATTCTTAGAGCCTCTAAAACACGTACACCTCAACAAACACATTAGGCAGGTTCATAGTCCGCGATCATACATGCTATTTGGGTGACCAGGGATCGAGCGATCCCTTCATATATAAGGAGCTCGAATGGCTACGATCCGTGATGTTGATGTTATTGATAATACTGATAATACACGGCCATACAAACACCGATCAAGCATGCTCAGCCTCAGTCTACATAGTGCTGCTGTGATAGCTGGAGGGGAGGGCGCAGTGACACTGGGCGAGGCAACAGGTCGTTTCAGAGGAAGTGTACTTATCTATCTGGCGAGTAGGCATAAGAAAGGGATGCGTATCTCTTTCTTAGGGCCTGTTCATACTCTGAGAACTTGCGAAGATGCGAAGTTGCGAAGAAGCGATTGCGAAGAAGAGAAGAGCTACTCGCAAATAGATAAGCTACACATCTCCAGAAACGATCCTGCATGTTATGGATCGCCAACGATGAACGCTTGATTGTCATTCGTTATATTTTTCTTGGGAGTCACAGGCCTATGCAGCGCTATCCCTAATGGCGACATACGATCACAAACTACGTGAGCTGCTATTCACACTCTCCACGCACGCTGGCACTGTCTACTTCAAATGATCTTATGGTATTAGCGTGATGCTATCCTCCTCCACTTTCGCCGATAGACACTGGTAGAACGGTCGATCAACCAAAACAACTGAGTCAAACCTTGAGAGCGGCTTGAAAATTTTTGCGGTTTTTGTCTTCCACTCTGTATACGGCTCCCATACCGCCTTCACCGAGCTTTTCAAGGATTTTCCACCGCCCCGCAATCACCTGAAATGATGGCACGAGTTGAATCATTACAAGTATGAGACGTAATGGAGAGTTATACACACGAGGGTGCTAAGAGCTGTTCCCGTTGACCTTCTCAAGTGCGCTTCGTGTTGACCAAAGATCGCCAAACTAGCATGCCAGTTTCCTAAATAGCAGGCTAGGTGGAGTGACCGCCAGAACTATAGTGGGCGAGGTGTAATAATGATAGCGTCAGTACTGCTAGCCCAGAGGAATTAGCGACGATTTTGCAGCGTTTGCTGTTGAACGTAAACGCGGTCTGCCGAATCCAGGCCACCAACAATCAGTGCAGATCGGCTACCTTTTCTCTGGTCAGCTATGGCCACTACAGATTCAACAAGAGGACGCACCTTTCCATGTGGTAACTTCTTATGATCCTCATGTTCGCCTTTGCAGTGACGGCGCGCCAGGTAATAGATGGAAGTAGGAATGAGCCACACCACAGTGACTTCTATTGAATACATATGAGAAAGCGATCTATTCAATGTAAACAGCTCTTATCATGAGGATAATGTTACAATGTTTTGGGGCCATTGTAATAACCTTCATTACAGACCCCTTACTAGGAGAAGGCATTCAACTTCCCATGGAACTTCGAATTGAGGACCCAGATATGTCGAGCTTCAAATGTATACAAATATGGAAACTAAAACTGCAAAATGAACCTGCCAAGGAAGTTGTGAGCAGTCAAAGTTGGCTGAAAGTAAAGCATTACATATGAACGAGGCTAGCTTCCGGGCTTTCTAGAGTAGTGGTAGTGCTCTGGCCGCGGGTTTTCTTCCCGTCGAAATGCAACTTTTGAGAGCACTACCACTACTCCATGGCGACTTTGAATGCCCGGACGGTAGCACAGTTCATATGTAATGCTTTACTTCCAGCCAACTTTGACTGCTCACAACTTCCTTGGCAGGTTCATTTTGCAGTTTTAGTTTCCATATTTGTAATCAATGTTTGAAGCTCTATCGAAATATTTGGGTCTCAATTCAAAGTCCCAATGCCTTTCCTTGTTAGTGCATTTTCTCACAAAGTGGCACCAACGTCATTCCAGAATACGTACTCCAGTAGTGGAGCAAAATGAGAACCTTACAAGGGAGGTCGTTCAGGGTGTGCCAAGCTTTTTCAAAATGGTTTCTTGCATGACATTGGGGCACATATGGGGACCACAGAAGCATGGTTCATTTTTCCTGAACGGCCCTCTGAATACCAGAAAAGGGGTCCCTAGTTCGATTCCTCGTGGTGACAAATTTTTGCATTTCGAGTTGACGTTTCAAAATTCGCGCAAAATGGAGTTAGCATGAATAATTAGTACCAAATTCATGATTAGGAACGTCAGTAACCCTTACAAATAGACTTTGATTGAAAAACTGGTGAAAAAGGTGTGACTAGGGACCCCCTTTTCTGGTATTCAGAGGGCCGTTCAGGAAAAATTAACCATGGTTCTGTGGTTCCCGCATGTGCCTCTATATCATGCAAAAGACCGTTTTGAAAAAGCTTGGCACCCTGAAAGACCTTCCTTGTTAGTTTCTGCTTGCTAACTGCTGTTTTCGATAGCAGTTACCCTCGCGAAAGTCTTCTCATTGGACAAGTGCACTACAAGTCTTGCAAGTTTTTTCGTAACCTAGTATTCTTTTGGAAAGCTAACAAGGGAAGTCTTTAAGGACATGGAGCGCTTTTCCGAAATGGTTTTCTACATTTTCTACATAATTCATTTTTCCTGAACGCCTCCAGGAATGTCAAAACAGTGGTGAAGAAATGGTCCAGAGTTCGATCCCCGGTGATGACTAATTTTTGCAATATAGTTTGGCGCCCCAGATTGCCGCCAAATGGCGCCATCGTCGAGTCATTGTCGTGTTTTGCGGCAATTTGGAGGCGCCAACATAAATTGCAAAAATTTGTCATCACGGAGGATCGAACTTTGGACCATTTCTTCCCGCTGTTTTGACATTCCTGGGGCGTTCAGGAAAAAATGGACCATGGTTCTGTGTTCCTCACATGAGCCTCTACAACATCAGAAACCATTTTGAAAAACCGCTCCATGTCCTGAAAGACCCCCTTGTGAGTGCTCACACGGGACAGTACTCCCTCCCCCCTCCTCGCCCACATTACACAAATAATGCTGGTGTGCAAAACGGTACAAGTTGCCTTACAATGTATGAAATATTTACACTAGAACTCTTTCCGCTGGAAATCGTTTAGCCTAATGGTTAACTATGCCTTCAGATATTTTTTCGCCCGCATTTACGAGCTCGTCCTTAGTTCCTGCTTATCGTTTGAGCTATCAGTGCCAACCGTATCTTTACGACGTACCAGCGTTTCAACGGCGGAAGAGTGAGAAGCTCATTCGATCTCCAGGACGTAGCAAATGTTGCTAACCCTGCTCGTGTCTAGCTTTATTCCTACATTGATCTATTCAGACCAGTGTCCTTCCGGTGGCGTATTTAATGCTCAATTCAACAAGTAAGTCCACTTGACGATGTGATCTCACCGAACATGTGCTGATAAGGACACGCTCACAGCGGCTTCGCTTGTATGAGTGGAATATTGCAAGAAACAGTAGGCTAATGTTGGGTCTCCTTCCTGGGAGTGTTAATAAAATGAATTCTTGAGAAGAGAAATGCGGCTTCCACAATAGTTGGCATGAATGGCGCCTTGCTCAAAGGCATGGCGTGCCTCAGAATCGAATTGGTATGGTTCTTGTACACGAAGTACGAATGTGTAGGTGCGAATGGGGTGGCAGTGAAGAAAAAAGGAAAAGAATCCGTCGAAAACGCTCAGATTAGGGCTTACTCATCTTGTGTAGTCGCTGGGCTAAGTCGATTAGACACTCAGCGCGGAGAGGAAAGTATGAAAGTGCAACTAAGTGGGTGACAAGCCTATCAAAGAGGAAAAACTGCAGCTGCTGCATCCGACTTTGTAAGGTCATAGCGCTCCTGACTGGTGACATTAATGCTACAACTGTCATTGTCCTCTGGGGGTCTATTCCTCAGATCGAAGAGAATGATTACACCACTTCTGCCTGGACTGTGCCTTCAAACGAAAATTTCACGATAAGGACGATGCTCGAAGAAGTGGAAACATACCCAGGTGAAGAGACAGGTGAACCTTCTAAAGGTGCAGACAGGCATGCAATCCGCATCGAAGCATATTCCCGGCGATCTAGCATGCCTTTCCCGGCGCACTTGGCACGCTGATTGGCGCTTAAACCCTTTTTCGCTGCACCATCTCTAACTTAACTTCCAGTGTGCCTTTCATCATAAAATCCACCTTTAATTGGCTTGGCTGGTTTTCCTTTGTGACGGATATCGATTCTTTCTTGCTTACAATCATGCGTGCACTTTTAAGCCAACCTTGCTCTCAAGGTCTAGGCGGACAAGGAATCAGTTTCACCTACAGTCAACTTCAATATCTGTTCATAGATGCTACGTCATCTCTACCACACCGGCTCCATACGCGTTAGCAGAACAAGACTGCATCAACCTCGGTGGACATCTGGTTTCCATTTCTAATGCGTTCGAGAACGACATTATTTCAGGTATGAATCTGGTAGAAAGAATTCTCAATGAGGAAAGAACCAGCTTTTTGGTTGGGAAGGCGGCCTATTTGTAGCTTTTATAGGAGCCTTTCTAGGGCAATTTCAAAGGATATTCCTTGTTTCTTAATTCAGACAATACTAAATCGGCTCTGGTTTCAACAAACTCTAGCGATTTCTGGATTGGTGCCAGCGACCTCGTCACTGCAGGGAAATGGGCTTGGACTGACGGAACAAATTTCTTATACACCAACTGGGCGCCAGGTAATTCTCTGAAGACAGTTGCAGCCTGCATTGGAAAATATGTGCATACTACAGTGCGTATAACTCACACGATTGAATAAATTGTGCATAAAATTATTGAGAACGCTAAAGCATGGGAAAGCGTTGACCGATTCCTTTTCGGGTCGCGCCACGCTTTCTTCCCATTTGAAGCATATTAAAGGGAGTAAAGGGTTTATGCGATTCGACTTAGGATGGTTTGCAGAAGTTGTGGGGTAGGTGAAATAAATACATTTCAGTGTTACTTTCCCGGCAACTTTTCTACCATGCTAGCTGGCTCTGGAGTTATGAAAAGCCTGCTTAGCTTTGACTGCGCCCAGAAAAGCAAGGGAATCGATCGAAAGATATTAGGTTGTCCCATAATTAGTGAATCACTTTGGGTATTTTTGAATTCAATTTTTTTCTTTTTATTCGAAGTCCTTGCTCATCCAAACATACACCTCTGTCATCTACAATGTATTGCCTATTCATGGGAATTTAGTCGCTGCCTTAGCTCTTGAACGAAGAAGACTGGAAGTCGGGTTTGAGGTCGTATCACTTAGCGTAAAATTTCTTCTTGAAGAAGAGTGCTAGAGCTCAGACAAGGTTGTCCTTAGCTGGTACGAGGATAGTGCTACACAACGAAGCTGAAAGAACTGTTAGCCTGAGAGTCGCCAACTTTTTATGAATAATCTACCCAAGGTGGGTCGAACGACCTCAGAAAAAAGCAGACTTTGTCTTGCTTTGCTTTCAAATTGAACGCGTCGCCATTGTGCTGTCGACGTTGCCTTCTTCAGTGACCCTAGTATTACTGGGCGGCGGTTCCCAGCGCAAGGTTCCTTTCGTGTTTCACCAACATCTCAGAAGTGTCGACATAGAGGAAGTTGGGCTTTTGCTGTCAGAACTCCCGAATCGCTTGAGCTAGGCTACTGCTCCTGGTGGATTTGCTAGCACACTCCACCCAGTCTACAAACTGGTGAATATGCAGGACGGATCACTGAAAGGAACTCTAGGAAATCAAAAGGAACATGATGATGTCAGATCGTGTTAGAGGGTGATTCGGGCACAGAGCATGTGAAGCACAAATTCCATATTCTCAATTTTTACGACTCTACGGAAATGTCTACATTCCATCATCTTAAAGGCACGCTCCGCGATCAGGCGGGCTCGCCTGTTCCATCCAGGGGGTAGTAGGCAGGTGGACAAGTGTTGATGTCGGGCCCCTTTTGCGGCTTGAAAGTGCGCGACAAAGGCGCAAGGAGCTCGTCCAACCCGCAACTCACACCTTCGTCCGCAAGCCCCACCCTTCGCTGTCGGTTGCCACGTGGCGCTGCTTGAAAAGCGCGGGCGCATTTGAGGCAGTGGTCCCAGCGCGATCCAATGTTATTGACACTGGAGCAAAGTAGAATGTCACGCCGGAGTCGTCCGCCGGCTAAACTCGTCCCCAATTTCGCCCTGCCGCATCTTCTATCTCGTAGGGACCTAAGGCTGTTAATGTGAGGCGGCAAGAAGTAGGGGCGCAGTGTCCGACGGGGGGCGTAATCTGTGATTTCGTTTGCTTTTCCTTCTCTTTTACAGACCACCTTCCATCTCTGGCTTCACTACTGAACTTTTCCACACCTATTTTATCCTGAATCTTGCCTTTAACAAATCGGGTACGCTCTGACAAACAGCGAATACTTTATACAGGATCCAATCTCCGTGGCGCTGGGTAGGGCCAGCAGCACTTGCTAGTATGTCAGGAGTTTTGAACGAATGTGGGCATCTTCAAATGAAAAAGCCATATCCGGAATAGGGTGAATCGTGGTTTGAAGGAGTGTGTCCTCGTCTGTCTGCCGGTTGGTCCACTATGCTGTTTGGTGTTCGAAAGATCGTGATCAAAAGTGATGAAGAAGGAAGCTCAAAAAAGGTTCTAGAAAAATTTGATGTAGAGTTAGCACGATAAGCGCCATTGCTCCTCGCCTGAACCAAATGCTACGAGTGTAGGATAATGTTGGTTGATACTTCGGGGCAAATAGGATGTACAATGTCAGTATTTACGACCTTATCGCCCTTATTCTTTGAGATTACTTTTATAGCAATTCAATGAAAGGGGATGGCACTCAATAATAATCGGGAAACCCCTCGAATAATATGGATTTTCTATGCAGCATATCATAACGGAACAGGTTACACATATGTGTAGAATAATACACTTTATTTCTATTACTGCCTTAGGTACTAAAGAAGTTACGAGGGATACGCTACGAAACGCTATCCCGTAAAGTCTACGTCACGTATGACAGATTATCGCAATAAATCACTTCGCGGAAAAAATCCTTCAGGACTAAGTGGATTGGGAATAGACCTACCAGTGAGCCGATAATTGACACTTCAGGGGCAGGGGCGACTTATCAGCAATGAAGCAAGGCGCCGGAACCCGGAGGAGGTTGCAGTGGCAGTAAACTCGATATGATATCCTTATCGTCCGATTTTCTAGAATGCAACTCATTTTGAACAGCCGTATCTTCTTATCGTACCATATCTTCCATGGACTTATGCTCGTCTAGTTCAGCACTTATTTAGAGTCATGGTTGACAATGCGTAATATGCAGCTCCACCCCAACGAAGCCAGCGTTATCGCTTTCTTTAGTCATGAGCGGCTATACGGCTACGTCTAGCACCTTATTAATCCCAGTAACTCTGACAAGCTTGGAGATTGTTCGCACCTGGGCGGGTGATTTCAAAATATTATTCTATCGAACATCCTGTCTGGCGCAGCGGCAGCGCAGACTGGAGGATTGTGCATCATCTCGTCTGAGTGATGGTCGATGGGCCGCGAACGAATGTCTACTTACAAAGGCCTACACTTGTTCAGTGCCGCCGCAGCAACCGTTCACCTGTCCACCTCCACCGACCTGCCCAAGTGAGTCCGCTCGCTGTGCCACATCTCAGTCGTGCTATCCTAATCACGGAGCATGATGATTACAATTCAATTAATTCGGCTGAGAGGACATAAGTTATTACGATGAGAGATGTTTTCAGCAGTAACAAGGCCGGCCCCAGTGGTTTGCACACCTCGTCAATGTACTCCACATTGCGACTCTGAGTGGACATATTTCTCACAGACCAATTCTTGTTTCAAGGTGAGCTTATACGGGTAACTATCAATGAAGGAATCCTATTTCACTTCAACGAGAAAACTATTCGATATCGAAAAAAAAACCATGGGATGTTGGAGGTTTTTCGGCCAAAAATGGGATGCGCTGAGGCGTTTTGTGTGGACCAAGAGGCGGCCATCTTGCATCAATCCATTCGGAGCAGGAAAATACATTCGTAGCCAGTGAGTCTGCAGCTTAGTGAAAGCTTTGAAGCGTACATGTGCTCTGAGTAATTGGTTGCGTATCTATGCTTCTGAAAACGCCTTTGGTCAGATATTCTTGAATGCCTGCTGTATGAAAGAGGTAGCAGGATATTGTCGCTACCAATTCATCAGACGGACTCAGAAAAAAGAAGCCGACTGAGAAATTGCTAGCCGTTTGAAGCCAATTTTTATGCATTTCCCAAATTCATCGTAAGCTTTCCAGGACAAAGAGGCTACCATCCAGAACTGAGCGTTTTTCCAAGAAATATTTTAACTCCAGTTGGTTGAAACAGTTCTTTTTTGTGAATACGATACCTTGGAACGTAACTGTAGTGTGCCACTGCTACAGCCCAAAATACATGACCACAGAGGCTTACGATCTACATCGACCCCGTCCTTGCTGTAATTGGATGTCTTGTTTTTAACCGCACAATATACTCTCTTCTCTTAGAGTCTGTCTTCGAGCCATGGCGTTTTCGTCGCAAGTCCACCATTCCCCGCCTAGGGAACGAAGCCCACTCCTTCAGCCTTTACAGCGTCTCTCATTGTCCAACCGGTCCAACTCTGTTTTCATTTCTGAGCATAATAACTACGCACAAGCAGTCGTGAAATGTGCTTTTGAAGGAGGATTCCACAATAAGGTCGAAGAAGAGGAAACTCAAACAGAGGCGGACCGACACGCAATACTCAGCGGAGGACATGCCCCAGCCACTTGGCTTGACCTGCTGGCTACCTCTAGCTAAATTCTAATGTGCTTCCTTCTAATCGCCAGCTTCGCCTTTGATTATCAAATTAAATTCCAACTAGGGCACTGTAGAGAACTTTTTCGAGCTTTCGGTGATTGGGAAATCTTTTTAGATCTTGCGAGGACTAATCAGAAACAGTCGAATCCAGACGAGCTGACGTGGATTGGCTTGAAAGCCAGCGGTATTACTCCCGATTATTTTTCCTATTAATTCGGCCATTCATTGATGTTTAGGAGATACATGGAAGTGGACCGATAACACAAAGACGGACTACATCAATTGGGCACCAAAGCAGCCTGATAACCCAGGAAAAGAGGATTGTGTGGAGGTAAATTTTATACAATTGAATATGTTGGTCCATAAGTCTTGCAACAAACTGGCCAAATTTTGAATTTAATATTTTTATTATCTTTTTGTTCCATTCATCCAGCATGCTACCACCATCAATATCTACAACCTATTGCCAACGCACTAGAAGCTGTTCGATGCCTCTCTTGTAGACTCCACTGAATTCTGATCGAAGAAAGATCAGATGTCGATTTTGACATCATGATGGTTAGGATGAGATTTCTTCTCTAGGAGGTGGATCTGGAGAGGGAAGCAGGGCACCCTTCGGCACCAAGGTGGATATGGAAGAACTCTTAGTCCAAGAATTCCATAATTTTCCTGGATTTTCTTAGCAAGAGGTGGTTCAACGGTGTCATAAAAAAGCTTTGCCTTGTTTTTCTTTCGTATTAAAAGCGTTGCATTCGAGCTGTGGATAGTTGACTTTCGCGTTGACTGCGACATCTACACGTAGGGGTTTCCAGAGCTAACTCCTCCGTGTTCCACCAAAAATCCGAGAAGGCCCTACTTGGACGAGGTTGAACTTAAGCAAGTAAGATCTCCCGAAGCGTTTGAGCTGGACTACTTCGACTGTTTAATTTGAACTCCCAAAGCGTTTGAGCTAGACTATCGCCGCTTGTTTATTTGTTTGCACACTGTACCGTCTCCTCATCATCGACAAGTATGATGGTAGGACAATCGAAGAATCCATAGTAAGTCGACTCAAACATGATGATGTCAGATCGTGTTTTTGGAGCTGATTCGGGCTCAAGGCATGTGGGGACCAAACTCTATATTTTCGGATCTTCACAAGTCTTTGGAGATGCCTCAGTGCTGTCTCCTTGTCGCATCGGAATCGCCCTAGCAAATGATCGATACTCTATCCAGATCCCTTTTCAACAGCGTCAGATAGAGCATCGTGATTGCAGTCACGGTAATGGAGAAAAAAAAATAAAAAAATGTGTATCACTGTTCAATAAAGAAGTCAAACGCGGAGCCCAGCAGTGAGAGCGCTGAGGAACGTGAATATAAAGAGCGCGTGTCCATGGCCATTTCGGGACGATAGTGATCTACCACTAAACTAGCTGATAAGGAAGGTCATCAAATACTCGCAACTGAGAGAGAACATTGTTGGAGTTAAAAGGTAACCGGCTCTGAAGCGTGCGACATCGTAAGCAAAGCTTGCCCACTCCACGGAACCGAACCAAGGCCGTGCGCACCTGAACCGCTATCGTTGCCACTACGCCGCGGAGCAGCAGCGGCTTTTTCTGAAGGGTTGCTGATCACATTGGGATGGCTCATAGTGTTTGCAAAATCTCACGCCGCGTGGTATCGATCTAACCACTTCGTTGCCCACTGCGCATACGGAACGCATTAGTGTCGCAAAGGAGGAAACAAGCGCCCTGCGAAGGTGAATGAAACAAGGATGCCCGCCGCCGGAATCATCTCTGGATGATACGAATACAAATAGATCGTTGCCAGTGTACCACTGAGCATCCTTGGAAGATGTGTTGAGAACAGATAAGCAGCGCTCCGGTGCTGATGGGTTTTAACAGGGTTTGGTTCACTTACTGGCGATCATCTCTCTTCTGCTGTTAGCAAGTGAGTGAAAAGTAATGCTCAGTGTTCAGATGTGTGATTCATAAGGTGCATGCTGCTTTGTCATTCACTTGGGTGTTAGCATGCTGTATGTATCAGATCTCACCATGAGCTCTAGTTCATTTTGATTGTCATTTATTTTTCGATTGTTATTGGAAATCACCAATACTACTTCATGGTGATGATTGAAGGAAGATCCTTCATGATTCTTGATCAATATTTCAAATCTTCATTCAAATGTTCATGATCCTATAGCTACACTCTCCTGGCTCATGAATTCCCTCGAACATGGCACCATTGCAGCGGGCAGCAACATTTTAAACTTAGAAAATGATAACTAGAGCATAATAGCACAGAGGTTCGACGTTCGATGAATCTTGGCATCGTGTGTGTATTCGTATCAGATTGCTTGGTGAAGCCACAAGCCAAGATGTTACAAGACTTTATTCGGCTAACGTTTCGGCTTGGTCGCCTTCGTCAGAGCCTGGAAAGTCAAAGATCAGTGCGGCCTACCGCAAACATCATTTCAAACTTCGAATTAGTCCCCATAGACCAGAAGCATCCAGGAGCGGAGTTTGAGGTTACTAGGAGCATCTTGATGGGAGAACCCCACACTTCAGCGCGTAAAGCTTGGAAGGCCTTTTGGAAAAGCGCTAAAAGCACGAAAATAAACAGGAAAGGTGAATGCCCAACATACAGCATACAGCATACGGCATACACAGCCACCAGTCGACTCACATCAGATGTACGGTAGGCTTGGTTGAGACCACCGCTCACTATGGATGGCTTTGGGTAACCTAGCCCCTCCGGATGGAGCCGATGGCGCTCGAAGCCCACAAAGGTCAGCGAAAGTGTGCGAGTTCACTCTTTATGGTTGGGGCATGCACCTTCCTGTTATTTTTCGTGCTTTTAGCGCTTTCTAAAGCCTCCCAAGGCTTTACACGCGCTGAATGTGGGTTCACCATCAAAATGCTCCTAGTAACCTCAAAACTCCGCTCCTGCATGCTTCTAGCCTATGGGGACTGTTTCGATGTTTGAAATGATGTCTGATCTTATGACTTTCCAGGCTTTGACGAAGCGACCAAGCCGAAACGTTAGCCAAAAAATCCTGTAACATGTTGGCTTGTGGCTTTAGAAACAAACCTAAAAGAATCGTAACATTTGGAAATTTTATATTCAGAACACAAAAGAAGTAAAATCACGATCATTCGTTTGAACATTTGAAAACTAGAACATGAAACAAGTGGAGTTATGGACATTTATAACATAACAATCGTCCTTCAATCACCACTATAAAAGAGAATTGGCGTTTCCCAATGGTTAGCAGTCGAAAAGATAACAAAAGCAATCGAGAAAAAGCCGAAAAGCAGCTTTCCGCTGTCGGAAATGGAATGCTTTCCAAAAAAAAAAACAACCGCGCAAATGACACTGACAAGTGACGCCGCTTAGCGACTACGTAGCTGGCTAGATCCCCGTACCCGTGTCAGTTAAACCTTACGCTCACCTCGTACGCGCGCTCTCCAAAATGTTGGACATCGTTAACCCTTTGACGACCGCGCGCTCTAAACGTGTCTAGCGTGTGGGACCGCACGCCACACACGCATGTGGCCCGCCGGCGGGCCATGCGGTCCCAGGAGACCGCATTTTTGCTTAATTATAGCAACATTGATTAAATTGCAAACTTTCTTAGGTAAGTCGTCGTACTAATCAACCATACATTGTAACGCAGATGGATTATTAGGAAAGTACTGAAAAAGACCAATGAAAAACCTCAGAATATTAGTGTAACAGAAGTGTTTGATAATACTGTTGAAGTTGCAGCTACCGAAAACAATTCGTTTTCTTGAGCAAAACTTGCATTCAAAAATCGACCAGATTTGAATACAAATGCTTCTTTCAAGCTTCTTTCTTTAGTCACTGTGGTGTCAATAACAAGTAACGTTATTCAATAGACGGTTACTACCAACACACTGAATTCCAATTTAGTGGCTTCAATTGGAACCTTAGTATAGCTAGCCTTTTGACAGGGCAGCCGTTTGCTGCACCAACCAGAACTCTCACTTTTACTTACATGCTATTGTATTACATCTAATTTGTATTACACCTAAATGACAATATTTTTTACAAACCAAACAAGCCCGGTGAAGCCCGCAACGACTGGGTCCTATCGACTGAACCATGCAAGGAATATTACTAGTGTGGCAACAATTGCAGTAAAGATCACTGCTCCGGTTTTCAAAAACCACCACAGGTGCTGTGTTCTTATTCTGTGGGTCATGATGATATTTTTGCTAACATTACCATTAGAAGTGTTTCTAGGCCTATTGTTTCTGGATTCCTCCCTAGAAGAAAGCAATTCGTGGACCACTGTGTACATAGCCTTGTTAGGGTGTTGTGAACATATTTAGTAACTAAAATTTCCAAAAATGTCAAAAGGGAGGAAATACAAGAAATTAGTTGCCATGGCCCGCCGGCGGGCCATACGGTCCCACACGACCGATTTGGTGTGGCCCGCCGGCGGACCATACGGTCATCAAAGGGTTAACACCTTGACGACAGCGCGGCAACTAGGTTTGCCGCGTTTTGCACGCCGCAATGGACATTGTGGCAACTATAGTTGCCACACCCTTTACATTCAGTTTTTTCTTGAACGCGCCATTTCTTCCCAGGTTTTTTGTGTTCATTTTTTAGGCCATACCACAACATAACCAAGAACCACGCGGCTTATAGAATGACCAAATATTCTTTAGTTTGGCAGAGGTTTTTCGGACCGGACGAAAATATCCGTTCAGTTCATTCCTCATTTTCTCTTCATTAACACGAACATGTAGATAAAAAAGAATATTAGAAGTGAGTACAAAGCTACTCGTGTGGCAAGATATGTGTTTTTACCGAAACAACCACGTCCAAAATAATTTTGAAATCACTAAAGCAAAAGTAAGTGAAACTTGCCTTTTCAATGCTGTAACACATCATTCGACCGCACTTTCACATGTGTACCTTCCAATAAGTTTGACACACCGAATATCAGTGAAAACATTTTGTCGCATCGAAGTATTGCGTATTTAAAGCTCAAAATCCACAGATTTGTTGTGAGGCGGCGGCGCTCGCAGAACCGCTCTGGTCCCACGCGGCCAAAAATGCCAAAACGCGCGATGTCGTCAACGTGTTAATTCCTTGCTCGTCCCTCACTTCGCATACGACTTTACCCGTCAACCCAGTTTGAAGTTGGCTAAGCGTCAAAAAGGTCCTCCGGATTTTTGCCGCGCGTACTGGACATCACCTGTGTCTGTCCAACACACATTGTA